GGTTTAGGGTTAGGTTTAGGGTTAGGTTTAGGGTTAGGGTTAGGGGGGTTAGGTTTAGGGTTACGCGTTAATTTTAGCTTTACCGCTTACAGCATGCTTTTTTCGTCACGCTGTGATGACGTCAGGTACGCGGTTTCGTCGAGCGCGCTTTAGTCGACTGCGGTTTTGTGGTGGAACCGTAGCAAACTGTAGGCCAAAAGTTACATACTATTTTTCTTTCTCCAAAAAGGAAGTGGCTAATTTACACAACACCAATCTCTATACGATTAGCATGATGTAACAACAACAACAAAAAGTCAACAAAAGAAATATAGCCACATCAATAGCCTTGAGTGTAAATAATCCATCAAGAGCATGCTGGCTGGGGATTTCTGAAGTCCATAAATCTTTTAAGTTGAAAAATAGTGATCTAATTCCAAAGCCGATGGAGGTCATTGGGTTCCTCCAGGAACGCTCAGTAGTACCTGGTGAATAAATTGCAACTCGGTCGATTCCCCGGTCTTCTGCCTGGAGTTGTTGTAAGAATACTCCAACAGAGTCCGAGAGAGGTTTAAGTGTAAACTGGCAGCGTTCACGCCGAGACGGAAGACTCAAGGATATCACTGGTAGCCCATTTTGGTAAATCACTGTAACGTCTGCGGAGGATAAACAGGGACAATTGAAACAGATTCAGAAAGGCATGTTAAGATGTACATAGGTGTTAAGTTGAAGTCTATAGATCTGTGATGGCTAACCTATGGCCTGCGTGCCAGAGGTGGCACACAGAGCCCTCTCTGTGGGCACGTGGGCTGTTGCCAGCTGCTCTTCCAGGTTCTGGCACGCGTGCCAGCTGGTCTTCATGCTTGCCGGAGTGCCGGAAATCCAATTATCAGTTCCTGGTGTGCATGTATGCACTGGAAACTGGAAACCCAGCTGGCTGGGATGCGCATGTGCACCAACCAGCTGGTCTTCGGGTTTCTGGGCTCCAGCATGCCCACGTTCCAGTTTTGGTACTCAAAGCCAAAAAGGTTCGCCATCAGTGCTATAGACAAAAGGCACATATATTCACACAATTAGGTGTGTGCTATCATAGACAGTTTTATTGATTTTTCTGAACACTGCAAAGGACTAGGCTACAGGTTTCTTTAGGGCTTTTCCAATTCTATACTTCTAAGATTCCTAGAAGATTGCTAAGTATTGACTTCAACTTTTTTTCTGTATGAAGCTTCAATAAATCAACATTACACTTCCTTTTTGAGAAGCAGTCCCTAGGAAAAGGGGTTTTCCATGTAACAATCATTTAGACTAGACTAGACAAGAATAGACTAGAATAGAATAACAGAACTGGAAGGGACCTTGGAGGTCTTCTAGTCCAACTGCCTGCTTAGGCAGGAAGCCCTACACAACTTCAGACAAATGGCTATTCAACTTCTTCTTAAAAACTTCCAGTGTTTTTAGAAAGGCGGGTCTAACATTGCAACGATATGACGTGCGATCTTGGAGCTCCAAGATTGCAGTTGATATCTCTGCCGCTGGACGGTCTTTTTGGACCTAAACCATCCTGTAGAGAAAGTGATAGAGAAGAGGACATCCTGCTGATCTCAGGGACATCGCAAAGTCCCTGATTGATCCAGGATAAGCTCTTTTTTCCGGCAACAGAGACACAGCCATTGAAGCTGCTGNCCTGAGTCCCTCCCGGAGAAGGGCAGCATACAAATATACTAAACCTGAAATCTGAAACCTGAAAGTGGTATAAAATCTAAGTGCTATTGCTTATTTGAAGTTACAACAGCGCTGAAAAAATGCAACTTATGGTCAGTCCTTTTACTTACAGCTGCTGCAGCATCCCTATGGCCGCATGAGCAAAATTCGGGTGCTTGGCAACGTATTTATTTAGAATGGTTGCAGCATCCCAGAGTAATAGGGGTTGCCATCTGCAACCTTCCCAGCTGACTTCAAACCAGCAAAGTCAATGGGGGGAGGAGCCGGATTCGCCTAGCGACCATGTGATTCACTTGGCCATAGTTAGCTGAACAACTGTGTCAACAGAGGTCATAAAATCGGGGCATGATTCACTTAACAACCCCCTTTTTTGACAATGGACATTCTGGCCGTAAGTCAAGGACTATCTGCATCTCAGAAACTAAACTATTCTTTGTATTCTTTGTATAATTCCATTGCCTGATGGAAGCAGAGCTGAACATGAGCAAAAAATCAACCAAAATAAGTGGGCAGAGATTTAAAGGGGCACGAATAGGACACCTATTTCCTACCTTTTTTAGTTGCAAACAACTTTCCAATTTCAAATGCTTTTTCTCCCCGTGGAGTCCTAAGACCAGAAACAGACTTGAGGGGAAGAGATTTTTTTTTTTACTAACAGAAACTATTACAAGCAAGAAATGGCAAATGGGGAGATTGTTTTAACATCTTTTGTCCACTTTTCTTCTGCTTTTACCCTGATCCACTGACAAATCTTTGGTCAATACAGAAAGCATGTGCAAGATATAATTTAAAAGGCAAAGGTTCCCCTCGCACATATGTGCTAGTCGTTCCTGACTCTAGGGAGCAGTGCTCATCTCCGTTTCAAAGCCGAAGAGACAGCGCTATCCAAAGACGTCTCCATGGTCATGTGGCCAGCAAGATTAAATGCCGAAGACGCACAGAACGCTGTTACCTCCCCACCAAAGTGATCCCTATTTTTCTACTTGCATTTTTACATGCTTTCGAACTGCTAGGTTGGCAGAAGCTGGGACAAGTAACGGGAGCTCACTCTGCTACGTGGAACTAGGGATTTGAACCACCAAACTGCTGACCTTTCTGATCGATAAGCTCTGCGTCTTAGCCACTGAGCCACCATGTCCCCATAAGATATAATTAAGACCTACTATTTTATACTTTGCTTTGACTTTTTCTATTACATTTTTAAATTGAACTTGGTAACTAATGTTCTCTTCTTTGTAACTCCAGTTTGTTTGTAGCAAACTGTGGCACGACAAAACCGCGGTCCACTAAAGCGCGCCCGATTAAAGCGTGTACCTGACGTCATCAGCAGCGTGACAAATTCGACCACGGAGAAAAAAGGGCACTTTAAAAAGCGCTTTTAAAGCAAGCCGATTCACGTTAAGGTAAGGGTTAGGTTTAGGGTTATATTAAGGGTTAGGGTTAGGTTTAGGGTTAT